AATTGCCCAGGTTGGCCTTGAACTCACTCTGCAGCCCAGACTGGCCTGAATCTGTGATCCTCCTGCCTCATACCTCCTGAGTATCTGGGACTACAGACTTGCACCACTAGGCAAGGCTTGGTTATTTTGTTTGTGGAATTGTCTAATCATCTTTTTACTTGTTTTAATTTTCTAACTTCAGTTCATTACTAAAGGAGTTTGTCAAAGTATTATTTGATAAATCACCAAAAGTAAACTTCTGTAATACCAAAATGATAGGCTTTATATTATTGCATGCATTGTGTGCTAAGAAAATATATCCAAGTTGAAGTTTATTTCAGTTTTGGCAATAGCAATTGTCTTAGATACTTGTTTGTTGCATGACAAAACACCATAACTGAGGCAATTTACAAAAGAAATAATTTAATTTGGGGCTCATTATTCCAAAGGATTAGACTCCATGATCATTGTGGTGGGGTACACGGTGTCAGGCAGGCAGACATTGTGTGGGGCTGGAGCAATAGCTGAGAGGTTATATCTGATCCACAGACAGGAAGCAGAGAGCTAACTAGGAATGGTGTTAGCTCACCCCCAGTGACACACCCACTTCAACAAGGTCACAACTACTTCCCAAACAGTCCCACCAACTGGGGACCAAGTATTCAAATATATGAGCCTATGGGGGACATTCTCATTCAAACCACCATAATTTAAAATCATAAACATTCATGAACCATCAGCTTCAGAAGACAGCAACATCACAGACATATTGCAAACAGAAGATAGTTCATCCAGTATATATGTATCTTGTACAAATACAAGCTATATTAAAATGAAAACACATACCTATGTAGAATAATAACTACAGAGGATAATTATGGAGAATAATATTTGGGTGAACAGTCAGGGAATAACTATCCTTATTCTAACTTTCTCTGAAAAGGCCCCTAAAGGAAGCTAAAGTCTCAAGAGCCCTTACGTACAAGACATGGGTTAGGACATAGGAAGTGCTGTAGAGAGGACATACCCTCACCACAGTTAAAGACCGGACTGAATGTAGGATGACTGGAATAAGAGGGCAGCAATGGATCTAGCATGAAGATGGAAAGATGCTGTATGTGGTAGGGGTGTTGTAGAAGTTAAGGGTGGGTAATTCAGCAGATTTTGCCAGACATGGTTTGATCAATAATCAGGAGACTTGCCATGATAGGCTTCACTCAGACTAGAAGGGACTTTGGGGCTGGGAAAAACATGCTGAGAACTCACTGCCAAGCATGATCCTTTTACACATTTCTGGTCAAGGGAGGAACTAGCTTTGAAGGCAGGAGTTCAAGTCCTGGCTTTTTCACTGCTAGGTTCTGGCACTATGGCCAATGAGTCGTTTGAGTTCCTGTTGTCCTGTGTTTGAGACACACACAGAGAAAGCCCTCCTCCCCAAGGACTTTGTGTGCATGAGTGTGAAACTGTGCCTGTAGTAACTCTGGCTCTTACTCATGGTCTCACAATGCTTTGTCTAGAATCTAAAAATTCTTTACAAGTCTTTTGCATATATATTATGACTTCCAGTTTTGTGTCTTTATGGGATTTCTGTGTGTGCAAATGTGTGTGTTTCTGCATCTGTATGTGTTTCTTGTGCTTTTTCTTTGGCTCTTTTTCTTCTGTTTGTTTTGTTCTATTCTGGTTTGTTTTTGTTCTATTTAATTATTATTTTTTAGATGCCTGTTTTCTAAGGAGAGAGAGAACGAAAGGGTGTGGATTTGGATGAGAGGGGCAGTGGGAAGGATCTGGGAAGAGCTGGGGGAGGGGAACCATAGTCAGAATATATTGTATGAAAAAAATCTATTTTCAATAAAACAAAAACTTATGCATTATCTCTTTAATAGTGCATTACGGTTTACAGATTAGTCTCTCTCTCTCTCTCTCTCTCTCTCTGTCTGGACTCATGTAGCTCAAGCTGGCCTCAAAGTTGCTACATAGTTGAGGATGACTTTGAACTAGAAGTTGGCCAGATTTAGTCTTCAACACTTACAACCACTCAAATATGAACAGCCTCTAATAGGCAAACAGGATACACCTGGCAATTCTAGGCAAGTGTGCTGGTCCTATGAAGGGAAGAGTTCCTTTCTTCTGTCTCCTGGAAACTAATAGAAAGCATCCATGGAGTGGAGTTAACAAGGCAGATGACCCACCAACTACAGCTGTGGCATGTGATCTAATCCCATGTGATCTAATCCAATGGTTGAACAGCACAGTAAAGATCTATTCATTAGCATGTGGTAGTAAAATAGTGGGCATGGAACACATCAGAGCCGAGCCTCTGGCTTACTGTGGATATGGGATAAAAGATGTTTTTTATCTTTGAGATAATATGTCATTACCGGAGATGATCAGCTGGGTGTTCACAAGGCAGTAATGGATCCTGGAGTTCACTTCTGGGAATTCTTGGGGAAACTGATGCTTCACAGAGTCTGTTGTCTTGGGATTGTATGCTTGTCTAGACACTGTGAGACTCAGGGGTTGTCTCTGGGCAGATGTAAGAGGACATTGGGGCAAATGCCTTTCTTCTCCACCCACCCCATGACACGTACAGGAATGATTACATGTGTTGTACAAGTCAATAACCACATGGCTTGTGGTTTTTACGAACTTTCCAGTGTGTAAAGTTCACCCTGCTCCTGGGACTACACCCCAGGGACAGAAATGTAGGTTTGCTGATGTGCAAACATAGAGTCTTTCATGGGTGGATGATCCCCAATGGGCAGATGGGAAACAGACAAGTTGAGTTGTGCTCTCAATTAGCAAAGGGAAGGACTGATGTCACTTTACAGTCCATATTTCACAACAAGGCTCCAAGTCTAGTTTTCATCCTTTCAGAGCTGACCCATGGGCATAAGCCTGCAAAAAGTAAACTAAAAGCGTAACATGAAGAATATATCCCATTATATGCCCAGGAGGGGGTGAAAAGCCTAAGTGAATGCAAAAGGGACTCATTGTGAATGGCTGAAGTACCATGGTTCACAGACGTGTGGACCCAGACATTCAACCAACAGCCAATGTCTTTTGGGGGCAAAAGAAAATATTATCCACCCCGAAGATGGATATTTAGCTGGTTTTCCTAAATGTGACACTGTGCAGATTTTCAATGTTTTTCCAACTCCTGTGCTATGGAGAAAGGGTTCTAACCAAGTGAAGGAACAGACCCCTACCACAACGGATATAGTGCTTGTCTAATCATCGAGGGGAAAGACATATCATTCAGAATAAACAAGAAGGGGAGAGCAATTTAATTGGCTCCTGATGTTCCGTCTAACACAGACCAGAAGTCTTAAAACCTAGAGGCTTATTTTTATTTGTGAGTATATTTATTTTTATTTTTTAAATGCATTTTCCATCTGTGTTGATAGAATTCCAGTCAAGGAACGTCCATCCTGGCCTCTTTGATCTTTTGCTCACCTTTCTGAAGCACGAAAGGGTCTCTGTTTCCCTTATGTAGAAGTACTTCCAGCCAGCATTTAATATGAAAGATGTTTATCAGACTTGGGACGGGCATATTGAAGCCATTCTGCAGTTGGCTCTCTCTCTGCTTGGCTCTTCTTTTTCTAGAAGCCACAATCCCCCCCCCCCCAATACCATTCTCAACCCACCGTGTTTCTTAACACAGTTTTGTACAGATGAAGGGGATGTAGGTGTCTATCAAAGAGTTGTTCTAAAGGCAAGGGAGAATAATAAGAATGAGGAGTCAGGTATTCTTTCTACCAAGGCGTTGCCTGACAGTTTCAGCACCTTCTGTTTGCTGGACCTTGATGAGAAGTCCAGACTTCAAGGCAGGCCCTGGAAGATGATTCTCAGGGGGTCCCCTCACATTTTCTTCCCCCCATATCTAGGAAAGCTATCTGTCTATGAATTATTTAAGTTCAGCAGACCAAGTTCTCAAATAAAATGGAGTTTGTTTTCAAAAAAAAAAAACAAAAAAACAGCTGGTGAAGATATGTTTCTTTTCAAGTGAAAGGAGTACCCCTTCTTGGGTCACTGAAGCTGAAGGATCGAGAAGATTCTAGAACTAGCATTTTTTTCTTTTCTTTTTGTCTGTTTTTTATGACAGTGTTTCTCTGTGTAGCCCAGCCTGTTCTGGATCTCACTATATAGACCCAACTGGATTCAAACTCACAGGGATCACCTACCTCTGCCTCCCAAATGCTTGGATCAAAGGTGTGCACTACTATTGCCCAACTCAAACTAGCATTTTTTTAAAATTTACTTGCCACATTTTTTTTAATAAACTGTGGTGCTTACTAGTTGGCTTACATGTTAAGTCCATGTTTTCTTATTCTATGGAAGCATGCTTATGAAATGTATACTTTTCCAATGTTTTAAACAAAACATTCATTAAGAGAAATGCTTCAACTTTAAGGAAAATTAATTTTTACTTTCCTGTTTCATTATTATTATTTTAGACAGGGTATCCTATAGCCCAGGCTGCCCTTGACTTGCTATTTAGGCAAGGCTGGTTTTGAACTCCTCATCCTCCTGCTTCTACCTCCCATCTCTGGGATGATAGGTATGTGACCGCCACCCCCCCAGGATTTTTTATCAATCTTAACTTACAAAATGTGACACACTAAGATGAACAGTTGTATAGTGAACAGAATCCATTAGAGACCCAAAATTTTACTAAGGTTTCTCTAAATAAATGGACTCTGGAGATATAGTTTGGGTGTAGTTTCATTGACTATATTCAATTAATATGCAGCTTTTTAGTAGCCATAGATTGCAATAAAAAGCAATACACTTCTAAATAATTTTCTTTGAACTTCTCGTTTTGGACAAAATGACTGTGAGGTCTTCCCCTGTAACTTCTGCAGCTAGAGGTTTGGAAGAAATTTCTTTGTCTACTTACACAATTTGAATATCACACAGAATAACTAAGCTGTTTTCATGGAAGGTCTATGAGGGAAGGTTTCCTGAAAGACACCAACCAAGTTAGTAAAATTTGGTGAAGGAGAAAGTAGGCAACACACTGCTGGTTTTTAGAACTCCGTTTATTATACATTCCAGACAACAGAAACGAACAGCTGGAGCAGTAGGGCAACTGCTTACTTGTTTCTCTCTGAATCAAAGAAGGGAGAACTTTACAGACTCCAGCTGTGCTTACTCCTGGGTTTCCTGGCTCTCTGCTCTTCTGTGTTCTGTAGTCGATGTGTCCAAACCTCAGGGGACGCGCCATCCAGCACAAGCCAGTTTTCTTCCTTTCTGTTTTAGAAATAATGAATATCAGATATGTGTAATACTCCTGGATGACCTGAGATGCCAGGGGAGGGGGAAGGAGGAAGGGAGGGAGGACAATGGGAATGGAAGAGTGTGGAGGAAAGGGAGGGAAAGGAGGGAGGTGGGGGGCATAGAGGAAGGGGAAGAGGAGGAGCAGGAAGAGACAAAAGGATAATGAAAAGACTAGAAACTTGTGTGGCCCAGTCAGTTTCAAGGAAGGAAGAAGGGAAGGACAAAAAAATGAAAGCAGCTAAAGATGAAGAATTGACAAGAAGGAAGAGCATTACTTAATAGGTCAGTGCTTCTTTCTTCTCTTCTCTTCTCTTCTCTTCTCTTCTCTTCTCTTCTCTTCTCTTCTCTTTTTTTTCTTTAAATTAGAAACAATCTTGTTTTACATGTCAATCCCAGTTCCCTCTCCCTCCCCTCCTGCCCTGACCCACTGGCCCCTTATCCCATCCCCCTTCTGCTCCCCAGGAAGGATGACACCTTCCATTGGGGATCTTCAAAGGCTGTGGCATCATTTGGAGCAGGGCCTAGGCCCTCACCCCATGTATCTAGGCTGAGAGAATATCCCTTTATGTGGAATGGGCTCCCAAAGGCCATTTGTACACTAGGGAGAAATGCAGATCCACTGCCAGAGTAGACTTCTTCAAAAGAAAATGTGCTTCAGATTCTTCAAGAAGGCTTGTCAAACACTGACTCACAGGACCTACCACAACTTTTGATTTTCTGGGGCTACTGTGAGGCCTGGGAGTCTGCATTTTAACAAGAGAGACTTCCAAAGACATGTTAAAGTTGAAAAGCAAGTTTGCTGGCTGGGAGAGGCTCTCTGCAGATGGGTTACATAGCATAGCATGGAGTCTTGAATCTGAGCTTCAGAGGGAATAAGGACAGAGAAGCAGATATGTAGAGAAAATTACCCAAAGAACAAAAGCAAAGTGACACTAAGAAGTAGGAGGGGAGGACTGACAGAGGTCCCTTAGAGCTTCAGCATGCAGGTTTGCCCAAGGAAGTCAAATAGAAAACAGGGCAAAAAAAAGAAATAAGAGACAATCAAGTTGCAGGTAAGGCATTAATGAAGGCAGCCAAAAGTTGTATCTAAGTACTCAAATTTCTTGGTCAGTCCTGTTTCCCAATATAGATATGTAGCCTCTGTGAACCCCTGGAATGGATGTATTAATTAGCAGAACCTTGATTGTGCACATCCTACCATTTGAATGGAACAAGGTCAGAAGTCTTTGCCTTTGTAGTCACTTTGTTTCAACTTTGGGTGTTTACTGCTAGTCTACTTAGTACACCTGAGAAGGCAAATGGGAACAACTGGTTCTCTCAGGTGGCACACCCATGGCAGGTAGGTCTATCTATCTATCTAGCCACTCCCGTGGGTCTGAGCTGTAGCACAGCTCTGTGGCTTTGCTGGGCTATCACTCTGAGCATGTTTAGCCCCGATTTCTAGGTCTAGGAAATCTGCACAGGAGCTCCAGGGTCCTGTTTTCCCAACACCTTTTCTAGATGTTTTCACTCCCCTTTGCCCTAAAACTACAAATGTGAGGATTTTAAGTCAGACACTCAGAATTTTGCAAATGTTTAAGGTGCATTTAACATGTATGGCAATCCAATAAAAGAGGCAAGGCTAACTCATGTTATCAATAAGGAAATCATTTGTCCACTAGCATGGGCCTCTTTAAAAACTGCCTGATGTAGCACAAGATCAGTAGTCAAAGAGAAATGGGTTATGATTTCAACCCAGGTTATCTAATACACTGGCTGCAATCCCATCATAGCCCTGGTTACACTTTGTCCGAGACATGAAGTAATGCATGCAGCCTATTAGTTTGGTTTCCTGCAGGGTTCATTTTGCTACTGATCAGTTTTGTTTTCATTTTTTCTGCAATAATATTTAAAATCTGTGAGAATTCATCAGTACTATCCATTTCCTACTTGCTAATACATTCTAATGGAAGCATTTTTTGTTATTGTTGTTGTTGCAACTTCTAATTATCTTTTAAATCTCCTGGGAAACATTATTTGAAATGTTTTCCAAGTGCTTCTTAGTCTTCTCCATGACATTCTTCTGCTGAGGCCATTTTCTCTTATTTTTCCACTCAATGTGCAGAGCTCTTTCTCATGGCCAGGGCTCTTATCATGAGTTTTCTCTGTCTGCAAACTCATGAGGTAAGGATTTGAGCGACCAGCATCAGTATCTGACTTGGGCTTCCTTAACAATCTTGTTGGGTCATTTGGTAGGCTTTTTTCCTGTCTGTCCTCTCCTCATGCTGACATTTGGTTACTGTTATGACAGTATTAAGAGGTGGAACTGTTATGAAGAGGGTTCTACCCTCCCTAGCAGATTTGTGTAATTTTAGCCAAATGGGTTTGGCTGTGATGTCAGTGGGCCTGATAAAAGGCTGAGTTCCAATCTTTCTATCCCTATGTATCACTTTTTTGACACATTATGAGACAGAGAAAGCCAGTGCTTTGCTCTTGGACATCCCAATTTTTGAAACAGTGAGCCAAGTAAATGTCTATTGCTTTGAAATTATCCATGCTATGGAATCCTGTTATAGTGACAGAAAAATCCAGGGCGACACATCCCTTCCCCGTCTTTGTGCAGAGCAGGTAGACAGAAGCATCCTCATGTCCCGGATAAAGCAACACCATTCAGACTAGGCCAGGAGCCTTACTTCTTTGGGATGATGTAGAGGTACATCTATATTTATTAATTCAAAATATGGAACAGCCCAGACATACACCAACAGATGAATGAATGAAAAGTGTGTACATTTACAGTGGAGTTCTGTAAGCTGGAGAGAGGATGGAAACAATGTTATTTTCAGGGAAATAAGACAAACTCACATGTGGAATCTAGAGAGATGGAGAAGAACATGAAAGCTGAAGGACTATGAGTTGCATAAAGAGAGCCCTGATAGGGGGGACCAGAGAGGGTGATGGGGAACAGAGAGGGAAATATGTTATTCTCCTGTTAAGAATCTATATTTAGAGATGTATATGAGCAAGTCATAAAAATGCATCTGTATAATGAAAGCCATAAACAATGAAAAAATACAGACTGATGCCAGATGGCTCAGCAGGTAAAGGCACTATGCCACCAAACTTGAATACCTGAGTTCAAGGCCATGGATCCCCAGAGAAATACACACAGATAGAGACACACAGACACACAGACACACAGAGACAGTCAGACACACAAAAACACAGAGTGGCAAGTAATACTCCCCAACATGAATAAATTAATAGGTAGGTAGATAGATAGATATAATTAAAAGTAAAAAAAAATATTCAGACTACAACCAGACCTGCATAATGGTTTTCTTGCAGCTCTTTTATTGCCAGTCTTTGTGAACTGAGCCTCCACTCAGTTAAAGCGAAGCTCTGGCTGAGTGATATGCCAGCCTGTGGTACATTGTACCAGTGGCTTTTAGTATCCGGTCTTGGGGTGACTAAACAATTTTCAACCTGCCCACTCATACACACAACCTTTGCTCATGGCAAATCTTGGAATTTTGGCACCTGATTGGAAATGCAGTTGCCACTTAGAGGCAGGAAGGAATTACCATGGTGACTAAGCATGAGTGGGCTTCTATCCTTAACTTGGACAGTTTTCCTTATGTGGTTTATGGTGGAAAATTCCATGTAGTAGGATTTTGGAATTCAACATTAACTTTAGAAGTCATCCATTGCATTTATCTGAGCTGTGCTTAACCATGGAAGTAAACATGAAAATAAATAAAGCATGAGTTTCATGGATTCATTACATTAATATGGTGGTCCCCCTTATCTACAGGGGATATATTTCAAGACCTCAATGGTCTGATAGTGCCAAACCCTATATAGAGTTTTCTCCTATATATACACAACTGTGGTAGGTTTAATTAATAAGGTAGGCACAGTAAGAGGTAAATAATAAAGTAAATAATAAAATAAGTAAATAAAATAATAAAGTAAATAACCATCATGATATATAAGCAATTATGAATTATTATTTTGAATAATTGATATATAAATACCATAATATCCAAATATGTATCCAAATAATCAATAATATTAATTATTTAATAATAGTAAGAGGTAACTTAAACTATAGATGGTATAACCGTAGGCTGGGAATGTGGTTCAGTGGTAGAACACTTGCCTAGCATTCATGAAGCTCTGGCTTTAATCCCTAGCATTCCACTGACAGCAGTAAACAGGGTAACTAGAAACTGAGAGATGAACTGAATCACAGGTGTTCTTGAGTGAACATGGCTTACCTCCTGCCCTCAAAGAGCCAGGAGATTCTCCATGGGCTCACTCAGAGCTAGCAGCAGGGTGCAGTTAGTCTGAAGACTGGATAATTACACTCTCTAACTCTGGGTCTGGAGATAACTGAGTCCTTGTTTATTAAGCTCTGCACAATTTTGAAAGCAAGAAAAAATAGGAACATTTCATCTACTTTATGGAGAAAAAAATTTCAATAGTCATTCCTCCTATTTGTTGCACCTAAAGTTATAACTCCCATGAGAATGACTAGGTGAGCAGAGAAAGACTCCCAGATGGTGGAGAACAATACCACATTTCATTCATGAAATCCAAACTGGAGAAGCTTTGGAAATGAGTAAAACCCAATTCTGACAGCACAGGGGCTCCCTCGATATGAAAAATCCATTGAGCAGGGATGGTTTCTCAGTATTGTTTGATAAAAGTTTTGTTTTGGTCATCAGAGAGAAAGTGATTGCATGATTGTTGCAGCAACTTATACAAGTTGACTGAAAGACCATAGTGAGACAGGGAGTGTATTGTGTGATGGTTTAAAAGAAAATGCTCCCCAAAGGGAATGGCACTTTAGGAGGTATGGCACTATTGGAGTAGGTTTGGTCTTGTTGGCGGAAGTGTATCACTGAGAAAGTGGGCTTTGAGGTATCATATATGCTCAAGCCATGCCCCGTAAGACAGACCACTTCCTGTTGCCTGTGTGTCAAGATATAGGACTCTCAGTTCCTACTCCAGCACCATGGCTGCCTGCACCACTGTTATGATAACAGACTGAACCTCTGTAAGCCACAATGAAATATTTTCCTTTATAAGAGTTGCTATGACCATGGTGTCTCTTCATGGCAATAGAAACCCTAACTAAAACAGTGTAGTTTAAGGAAATTATGGGAAGGAAATGATCTGTTAGGGGATGGTAGTTAAGGCTGAAAATGCTGAAAATAAAGGTATTAGAACATGTGTTGGGCTACTGAAAAAAAGAGACCCCAAATACAAGTGCTTAAGTAATACACATGTAATTTTTTTCTTTCCTGTGTCTAGCAACAATCTCCTATTAAGTAGTCCAGGTTCATGGGATAGCTTTCCTGCCTTTAGTTAGTCATTCGGGGACATCGTTTGATCTTACTTCTTCAGTTCCTAGGATTTTTTTTAATTGGTTGAAAACAGATCAAGTTAGAAGGAGAAAGCACAGAGATGGAGTTCAAGCAATTTCCTTATGATACAGAAGGCTACCCAAACCTCTTCCTTTCTGACAATGAGTACAAATCACATGACTACATCTGCTACAAAGTAGTCTGACAAATGGAAGCTCCAGCTGAAGATCCATATGCCCAACTAAAATTTGACTACCTGGAAAGAAGAGAAGAAAGTGTTACTGCTGGTCACTTGCATTCTGTTCTCTTGAGGAGTGTGGAAATCCAGGTCAGCCTCATTTTCCAAAGCACTCAGAGCCATCTGTGGCTCATGGGCCAAAAGGTCAGTCTCTGAAGTCACACAACGACACAAGTGGAACCTCTTAGCTACCACCATAAAACTTCACTGGTTTCTAATTGCTGGAGTCATTTGTTGGAGTCATTTCCTACCCACCTCAAGGATTCTGTGTTAAAGTACAGGATATTTTCTTTTTCTTAAAGGAGCAGCTTGGATCCTCTAGGTTGAGGCCCTGAAAGATTAGTCTGTTTCAGGGCTATTCTAAAAAACTATCTTATTCTTTTCAGGACCTTCTTCAAATGCTCCATTGTTTTCACTCACAAACTCTCTTTAAATGGTTCTCTCTTTTTAGAGCTCTTTGGATAGAAAGGGAGAATGTTAAAAAACTGAAATAAATATTGGCATCTGTTGACTTAGGGATGGAGTGTGTGTGTGTGTGTGTGTGTGTGTGTGTGTGTGTGCAGCTTGATACAGATGTTGAAATATATCCTGAAGATAAATATCTGAGTGCTGACTAACCCCGAGTCCAAGTCCTTTTTCATGGTGGTCTCCAACATGTAAGCTTCCAGAATCACAGCTTCAATTCCAGAGGAAATCCAGTATTTCCCTTCTCATTAGTGCCTGCAAAAGTCCCAAGACTATTACTCCAGGCTCGACTCTGACCAGATTCCTGACTCCTTTAATTAATCAATGTGATGAGGAATTCAGTGCTCTAAATGGTTAGGAACATGTCTAATCCTACACCAAGGGCAAAAGCTGACAAACATTAAACAATAAAATGGAGAAACACATTGCTGTGAGCCCATGTGAGCAGGGAAGCCAGGTGATGGGAATACAGCTCTACTAGTTCATGTGCTTGCAAAGTTTAAGCATTTGAAGTCATTTTATAGTGACTTAAACAGTTACCTTCTTAAATTTTTTAAATCACATTTTAAATGTGTGTATGTGGATTGGGCATGTGTGCCCAGCCTCCCCATGGTACGTGTGGAAATCAGAGCATGACTTGTGTAGGGCAGTTCTCCTTTCTCACCATGTGGGTCTTGGGGGATTCTGGTCCCTGGGATAAAACCCAGGCTGTTGAGCATGGTGGGAAGCACTTTCACCCACTGAGCTAGCTCACCAGCCTTTGACTAAGGTAATTCTCTAAAGCCTCTAACTGCTCACTTGCCTAAGAAGTCCTCTGGCAGTGTCATGCTTCAAATGCTTGTTTGCAGTTATTGTATCTCTATGTCCTTTCACTTGAGGACAGGCATATGTTGACCCCCTGAGACCTAGTGATCCTATGGACTTTAGTGTGTTACATCACAGTATTCATCCCAATTATAGCTTTTCATAACTTTGACTTTATATTCCACTTGTTTATTGTAATTTCATGCACTCCCTCCCTCTCGTGTGCTCTAATATAATGGAGGCTATCAAGAGTAGAGCATCCTTAGTCAGACTGCAGGAAATCAAACCTCTATTGCTTGCATATGTAATATACTTTTCCATGATTCAGCAAATATTAGTTTTATTGACAGATGGTGAGATACCCTGTGACATTATCTCAGGCTTGCAGTAGACAAGACGTGTACCACAATAACAGCAAGACCATTCACTCAATGAGGACCAGGAAACAGCATAGTGGTACCTGCTTGTAATTCTAAGATTTGGAAACATTGGCAGGAGGATTTAAAGTTCAAGGTCACCCTCAGCTACATAGTTGACATGAGGCCAACCTGAGCTGCATGAGACCCTGTCTCAGAAAAACAAGGGAGGGGGCATTAGATAGGTAACAGAGAACTGACTGTCGCTATTATACACTTACAGTGAGATAGATTGGTTGGCACTTAGAACAGTCTAGTGAATGGTGAAGTGGTTAATAACACAGACTCTAGGCAAAACTCTAGTTTCCTCATTTACTACATACCTAGGTTTAGGTAAGTAACCTGACCTCCTTATGTCTTAGTTTCTCAAAATAGAAATAATAGTACTTGCCTCACAGCATTGATGTGATTGTGAGATGAGTCAATATTAATATATACATATATAATTTTTAAAGTGACTTAGGACCTAAGAAAGTAAACACACAAGAGTCATGTAACTATTTAGTAATAACTTTGTTAGTGTTATAATTTTTCCATGAAAATTTGTGTGTAAACACTCCATGAACAAAGTGAGGCAAATATTGTTCAGTAGCAAGTTCCCCAACGTGGGGAAAAAATGCAAAGCACAAAACCCACATTTTCTTTTTATGAACCTTGTCTGAATTATCCACCTCTGAGTAAGAAAGTGGGAATGACATACTAATGGAAAAACAGGCTAATAAGCCTACTCCAGCTCCACATTGGAAGGGTGGAATCATTTACCGGAACACTGTCCAACTTTCTAATGCTGCAATCAAATCACTGCTCGGAGAAAGCTACAAAACCAAGTTCCAAACAATGAAAACACCAGTTTCTCAGTGGAACCCTGCCAACCATCTGGTGTTCATATGTTGTCTGGGGGAGTGGTGATCGTACAGGCAAGTAATGACCCAACCCCACCTCTCGGCAAGTGGCTTTGGTGCAGGAAGTTTTCTCTGGTCACTTGTGGCTGGTTAGTATTACCAGAAGAAGCCTCCTCCCCCCACTTCCCTTGTTAATGTTTTAAATTTCAGATCTTTCTTCAAGAGCACACAAGAATGGACTGTGGATGCATCTGTGGAGTTCAAGGCACCGAGGTTTCAATATTTCATAAATAAATGTGTTCTTTAAGGCAATTTTTAAGAAGCAAAGGGCCCACCCTGTTATGCAGGCCGAACACAGATTT